CGTGGAGGTCGTTGGTTGTGGCAGAGTGACCAAGAGTGACCGTACTAGTAGCGCCGAGCTGCCTCTTTCTGCCACGATGGTCCAGACTAGATTCCGGCATTCCGGGCTCTCTGGCATCTGAATCGGAGGCTGGGAAAGTATTTCTAGAAGCTTTGAAGGAAGACACCGTCTGTAAATCGTCTTGCCTGGACATTATTCGAGGGTGATGTGCACTCGAGGTGAGAGCATTGGATACGACCACATCTCCTGATGGGGCCACATAAGAGGTGGGAATCAGACTTCTCGGATGGCCTACCACAGAAAAATGTAGATGGGCATAAATGGAAGTAAAGCTGAGCAAACCGGTTAGGGAGGCAAGGTTATGAAATGATTTGATTTCATATAAGCAAATATTCTTTATTATAAGTATAATAAACTGAGAAAAATTTTGCCAAATTGCAGAGTTTTATTGGAAATTGTCTGGTTCTTTTACTCGTAGCAAATCATAATCTAGTGCCGTTAAGTCGAAGTGCTGTTCGATGTTTTAATGTCAGCACTGGCGATAAGTATGTCATGGCTTCACCTGGGTGTACAAACATTCATTGTGGCAAAGGTTGGGGTACATGCAAATATTGTTGGTCGTACCCCAAGTGCTTGCCTGTTGCGATGAGCGCTTTAATCAGTCGACGGCTTCGTAGTCAACGCAGTGGCCGTAAAAATTCGTGATTCTGAGCCTAACTAGGTCTTTGAATATGAAAGCATTTAAGTCGTCGCTAAGCGTGAAAGGACTATGAAACATTTCGTGCGCATCAGTTCTTCATCACCATCAGCTACCTAGAGTGTCTAGAACTCTAGATTTACAAATAGTCTTGAAACCTACTAACTATGAATATAAGTAGTTTAGTCGACTGTAATGGCAAAATGCAAGTTTGCCTCAGCAGCAAACCCACTGTAAATGTAGTAATTGAAAGGCCTGTCGTACCCTGTGACCCAGTGACACACGTGTATGCGTGGCGTACTTTTAACATGTAAACTCGGGCTCGAACGACGACCAAAGCGTTGCCAAAACTGAAGTCCATTACAGCCTGGATGAAAATATCTTTTGGGAGTCACTGCATACAGCCATGCAGCCTACTCGTAGCATTTTAGGAAACGTCAACTGTCATTCATCCATCACCTTTTGTTACCTAGGCTAGATACATTTCTTATTCTCACTTTATTGCGCAGAAATTGATACTTTTAAGACAAACCCACACGTTAACTGGTCGAAATCTATTGATTGTCCTGGGACCATGGCCCGGTATTCAGCATATTCCGGCCAAGCTGGGCGCAAATAGACTTTTGGAGTTTAATAATAAGTGAAAATTAATGCATAAATAGAGGCTTCTTTCTACTTTACCGCCGCTATCAATCCAATACAAAGACCAGTCAGGACTGTTACAGCCCTACAACAACTGAATTATTAGTTATTCGATGAAAATATGGAACTACTTGCGAATCAATAGAGTTACATGCTCTCAATGATAGTATATATGCAATTTGAACTAATACCAGAAGAAAATTAGATGAAACTCAGACAACTTTACCGTCAAATAGCTACTATGCTAGTTTATTCGTAAATATGAAAACCAAATTTCTGCCAAATTATTGTGGTATTACTCTCTCTCTCTGCTCTGGTACATCCATCGGTCTATCTTACTTTCTTTCGAAGATCCGTTTTTTATCTTGACTGATATCACTCGGTTCCAGCCACAGTCTACGTTTTGATCAAGGTGTTATTTTTCATCTGCTTCTTACACGCGATCCCTCTTCCTCTGGTCAGTGATATATCCTTGATCTAGGCTCATCTTTTTGGCTACTCCTGCCGTTTCCCTGTTTGCTCTGAGATCGTCTATAAAATACACAGGGTTTTCTCATCTTCAAATCTCCTGTTCATAGAATTTTTGCAGCAATAATGTCGCCTGCCTCGTTAATCTTGAGAATCTTCGTATTTTCTCCGTATGAGGCACTTCTATCTGTTTCATTTCAGTTGATCTTGTGTCCAATCTGTGCAATGCTTTCCGCTTTTTCTGTTCTCTATATATCCATCTTTCTGCTGTTCTTTGATAAGTATGCTGAGTTTTTTCCCTTTTGTTTATCTTCTCTTGTTGTGTGGGTAGATTTGTGGGGAATGCTGTTCCTTCTTTCGCGAGAAGGTAGCCATATCTAATTTTGTGCGTATTTTTCCATTATTATTTTTCTTTCATAATCCCCGCACTGCCTATACATTGCTTTGTCTGATTTATTTGGTACATTTGTTGCTAAGAGGTACCCGAGTCAATTTGACTAATTCTTCCTCCTGTCCCTTAATCGCAGGCCTCTGATAAACATACTCCCTATTATTACGACTCTCAGTCTGTGTTTTGGAGGGAACTAGAAGTTGCAAATTTCTTCTAAATAACCTTTTCTTTAGTGTCCCGTTTGAGCAAGTGACTCATACATCCAGCAAAAGTGAGCATCCATCGTGCTCTACTTCCACCATGAATTTCATTCTTTCATCCTCTCTAGTCAATAAACTTAAGGAATTTATCTAAATTTTCTTTTATATGTGACCAAAGTGCAAACTACTTATCCAGGTATCGCATGAGCATGCTTTAGTATAACGATGACGTCTCAGATTCTTCTTCTTATTGTTTAACGTATACGTTTACCAAATGATAGAATATGAAATACCTATTCATAAATGTTGCCGTTGAAACTAAAGTAGATGATCCTTATTGTCAAGTCGATTGATCGTGTTTGATAATCATTTCTGCTTCAATATGCTTCCGATATATCCTTTTTGCGATACAGAATATCCAGAAGGGCTGTGAATGACATTTCTCCAGACATGATTGTTTACATAGATGGTTGATCAAAAGTTACCGATAATTCTATTTCTTCAAATCATAGACTTTTCATCCTTAAAAAAAACTCATAAACAATTGACTGTAATTGATAAACTGATTCACAAGCATATAAACTTGGCTAATTTGTGGGTTGATTCATGCTTGGTGTTGACTACCATACCAAAAAGATTCTCCCTATTTTCCTTTATATCTCAGGTAACTTGAATAGGTACTTAGTCACTCTCGGTTGTGTAAGGAGATTTAGGGACTGATAGTGAGCTTTTCCCACGATGAAATTAGTAGGCCTCACCATATCATTGGATTTTACTTAGCCTTGCCTCACAAAAGAATATATCATCCAGGTTGGGCTTCAGTTTCGATAGAGGGTCGTGAGTATCGTGGCGAGATTGCCACTCTACTCAACCATACGACCACGGGTGTCAAGGGGTCACAGGTTCGATTCGACATCCATATTCATGAGTACTGATATTTTTGAGGACTAACTATATCAAAAATCAGGTAAATTGACAGAAATGCTTTCTAGAGTGGTTTCTTCATTTTGGAGAG